GGAAAGAGGAGGATGGTTGAAGGAAGGCCATGTTGTCTGCTGTGCCACAGTAGAAATATATATCAGCCTTAGCCCAATTGTTTATAGTCAAAAAATAAAAGTTCAGGGAAAGCTGGATTCTCGCTTAAAAAACATTATGTAGAAAAGAGAAAGATGTACTATATGACTTCACTCACTCCGTGGAAAGTTGTGAGGAGTATGGTCTGCCGATTCAGGGAAACTTCCCCCCCTCCCCCCCAGCTGGATTTACTTGCGGCTCTCGGAGAATGATGAGTTCATTGGCTTTGGTTGCAGAGAGCAGAGCACTGGTTCTTTTTCATGGTTTAATAAATTGATTAATAAAGCACGTACTTACGGGCTCTTTCAATAAATGAAGATGTATGAGAAGATGCAGTATGCTCTGGGCAGAGCTTGCACTGAACGCTACTCAAGTAATGCTACAGTTCCAATGTGAGACAGACAAGGTCCTCAGGAACTTTATAAATGGCAAGTATATAATTTAATTCAGTTCTTGATTCTCAGTAAGTACAACTGAGAGCACTTGACCAGCACAACCTTTCTCATCAGAGGTAGAAGTAAGTCTTTGGGGAAAAGCTGGCAGCAGCATTTAAATTTATTAAGTTTTCATTACAGAAAATAACACAAACAGTAATCAAGCTGAATTAAAACCTCATAAACCTGCATAAATTATGTTGATGCAGATGCCTTCCCTGTTGTGGAACAAAAGCATTTTTACACATCATAGTCATGCATTTAAATTCACTCCTGGTGCAAAGTATATGTCCCTTACATTATGAAAAATTGCATGTACTGAGCACTAGGAGCAAATTCAGCCTGTTGGATTTCAGTGCTTTGCATTTCCTCCAGCTGTCTTGAGTTCATATCCTTACTTCAAGTATATATTGTTAATGTTTGTAAGGTTGAAGGTGTTGGTTTATTTTTGTACTCTTGACACAGTGCAGTGAAGGCGAAGTGAAGAGGTGTTTGCAAATACAGCAAAGACTGTTTGTATACTTTGAATTCAATATATGCTTTACATTTCATTACTTGAGTTCCTTTATAGCAGGAAATGAGGTTACTATACATTTTAATTGGCAAACCAGTTAAATACTTGTCACAGAAAAAACACGTCATTCAATCCAAGCTAGTAATTGGCATGTAAACGTAAACCTGTGTCACCATTTCAAAGGGTGAAATCCTGGGGGGAAACATGCCATGGCTGGAGTAGACATTACCTGTGAGGTCAAAACATGTTTGAGACCAAACCTTCATAAGACATAAAATAAGGTCACAGGAATGGTAGGGTTGTCCTGTTGCCCTCAGTTGCCCATCTCTTGGTATATTTGGCCTTTTTTAAGTGTGGACTTGAGAGCTGGAAAGTGTTGTAAGAGTTTAACATACAGTTTCTTTTTTCTTCTCTCTCACATGTGCCAATGAAAGTATGAGGGAATACAGAAGCATGTGAAATAGATGAAGAACCACAGAGCTCCATAGGGAGACAAGGAGTGCTTGCCATTACGGTTAGGCATTAGCAGTCCTGCTATGATTCAGTCTCCATATACAACAGCAGGCTTTACTGCTCTTCACTCTTCATTTTGTCACCTCCTCCTCCCCCCACCCCCGCAGTCCATCTTATTTTTCTAAAGAGTAGAAGAAACCTGCAGCTGTCAAGGAATGGGCAATGCAGTTCAATGCCAGCATGTTTGGGCTTTGCCAGCTGGCCAGCGTCACACATCCATGAACATGGACCATCTTTAATTACATTGAACTGCAGCGAGAAGAAGGTGGTATTGTTCTGCAGCTTTAGTAGATCAGGTTGCCCTTCCTGAGCTGGTAACCTCCATGCGGGGCAATTTTATTCACCTCTGCCTTCCTAACGTGAGCAGAAGCAGGGGGTATTTTCTGGATCGTTGCCGCAGACAGAGCTGCTATGCATAAATTTGTGCAAGCCACGTTGCAACTTAAGGCCTCTTGGCATAAGATCTAATAAAACATTGCAAGCTTTATGATTTTTCTTGTATTGAGTTTCTGCTTTTGTCTGTGGCTTTCTGGTTTTCTGCTTGTCCTCAGACAACCATTGCTGGACAACTGATTTCTGGCCATCTAACCAGAAAGGCCGGGGAGGTTTCTTCTAGGCAAAGGTTGCTAGATTTTGCTCTTCTCGTACTGCCTTCTTTCCCTGAGAGATGACATAGAACATGTCTGGAAGCAAGAAAGGTCTTCTGATGAGACCTTTCTGACGAGCTTCTGCACGAGCTGTATATGCCGCAAGTGTCATGCAGCAAGGATTGGTACAATTGCGGAAGGATTTCACAGTGGCTAAGGTCCTCGCATAATGATGGCACAAGCAGTCGAGCTGATCAGCAAAGGTATGCATCCCTTTCACGACCACAGTCGTGTTCCTTTCGCTGCAGGCTGCACTTCTGTTGCTATTTTTTGGTGTGAAATACTCCAACCAGGACTGAGTGATCACGGCAGAATAGAAAAGGCAGCTGTGCTGAAATGGAGTGGTCTTTTTAGCATTTCCTATGTGCTGTTTGTTTTCTCCAAATCTTGTTTGGCGAAACGGAAAACAAGTGTTTTGTTCAAGCCTCTGGATGGCTTTAACATTGAGGTACTGCAGTCATTATCACTACGTTGTGGTCAATTGGTAGGGATTTTTGATTTGCTG